AATATGCATTTGCCACTTGTTCATTCACTATGTCATTTGCTACAAGCGGAAACAGGTCAGGAAAACTATGCAACACAGCCTTAAAAAAGGAACATTCTATGCATTAACTTTGAGTTGAGTGATGCAGCGCCTCAAAGCCCAGGTGCAAGAAAATCCTGTTATAAAAACCATTGCTGTACTGTCAGTTTGGAATTGTGTACCACTAGCAATAGAATAATACAATCTGTTAAATCTAAGCAAGGCAAGTTTTTGTTACCCTTAAAATAAATGGTTGATGTAAAGTGCTGTGGCTAGATGGTCAAAAAGAAGTGGTTCACCTCCAGAAATTAAAAAAAAAAAATTTATCAAAATCCATTCAATTATAGTACATTGAATTAAATGACTCCAAATGTTCATGATACATACCACAGAAGCTACAACAAATAATCCAGCTCACAAGCAGAAGGAACTGTGACTGACAACAGAGGCCATCCCAGAGAGAAAGGCTCTTATATAGGAATGCTTCACAGGAATAAAACCCCTCCTGTAACACAAATGAATAGTAAATCCTTATATGGAAAGCTTCAGTCACAAAATTATGCTCTAAATAACGAGTTTATTTTGGGCTATAGTTGCTTCGCTCTTAGACTAATTTTTTGGCATCAATATAATGAAAGCCTTAGGTTAGATGCCAGACTTCCTCAGAAAAAGGTAAGATGATTAGTATTTATATGCAATACTATTTTTATTAATATAGCTCTCAAATACCATAAAGCTTCATCAATTACAAAGAAGATTAAAAGTTATCCATTTTTAAAAATGTATTACCTTGGGTACAGTACATGCAGTAATTTGAACAGTCAGTAAAATGTATACAATGTTACATAATAGGGCTAGAATGTCATTAGAGGCCACAGACCAAATCCCAACTCTGAGCAGCTCCTTCTTTAGAGGCTCAAATGTCTAGGTTGCTTGTATTTCCACCAGAGTGAGAATCTGGGACTTTCCATTTTCCTTTTGTCACCTAAGCCTTACATAGTGACATGCACCAGGACTCTAAGACCTTCCTTTCATGACATGAATTCTCTGGACAATCTCATCCATATCATAGCTAAAACCACCACTTTTAACATGAGGGGTCCTAAACCTGTATCTCCAGCCCAAATCTCATTCTTGAGCTTTAGACTCATCATTTTTCTGGGTACTGGATATGACTGCTTTGATGTCCCACTGGCATCTCTTAAGTGAAACATCTTTCCTTCCCAGCCTGTTCCTTTTATATTCCTTTTCTCAGTGAAAGCCATCCATCTTCCCAAGTAGGAAATGTAAACGTCAACTTAAATTGCTACCCTCACTACCATCGTCTGAACCCAGCTTCCAATTAAATGGTTTCACAACAAATCCCTAAAACTTGGGCTGGGTGTGGTGGCTCACGCCTGTAATCTTGGCACTTTGGGAGACCAAGGCAGAAGGAATGCTTAAGCCCAGGAGTTGGAGACCAGCCTGGGCAATATGGCAAAACCCCGTTTTTACAAAAAAAAATACAAAAAAAAAAAGAACCCACAAAAAACAACAGAAAAGACTAGCCAGGAGTGGTGGTGCACACCTGTAGTCCTAGCTACTAGACTGAGGGGGGAGGATCAATTGAGGCCATGACATCAAGGCTGCAGTAAGCCCTGATTGTGCCAGTGCACTCTAGCCTGGGTAACAAAGTGAGACCTTGTCTCATTAAAAAAAGAAGTCAAAGAATTACTCCACAAACATTTATCAATTAATCTGAACATTTATACATGAAGAAGAGTTAGACATGGTTTCTGCCTGCTGGGAGCTCATAACGAGTGGAAAAATGGATGCTAAAAGTGTCACGATAGAGGTAAGCATAGGCAGCCATGGAAGCACATAGAACAAGGAGCTAACCCATACTGGGCAATAACTGAAGGCTCCTTGATGGCGCTGATACCTAAGCTGCAGCTTAAAATACAACTCAGGGTTACCCAGACCAAAGAGTCCATTGGCTGGAATTTATTTGATGCTCAAAAAATGTTTGTTGATTGTAAGAATATATAAGTAGTGACCTTATGAAATTTACATTACTAATTCAATTAACTGAATACATTTAATTATATCTTCAGTTTGTCCTCCTAAACTACAGGTTTTTCCCTTTTATTTGCATAATATAACATATTCTTTCTTCAAATCCAACAGTGTAAAGATAAAAGTCCAACTCAGCTTTCTTTATAAAGAGTTTCAAATTGAACAAGTATTATTTACAAATGATTGTCAGGTACTTAAAAAATGGTTTTATTGTTTTTTTTGAGACAGGATCTCACTCTGTCACCCAGGCTGCAGTGCAGTGGCACAACTACAGGTCACTGCACCCTCGACCTCCTGAGCTCAAGTGATCCTCCTACCTCATCCTCCTGAGTAGCTGGGACAACAGATGTATGCCACCATGCCTAACAAATTTTTGTATTCTTTGTAGACATGGGGTTTTGCCATGTTGCTCAACCCACCTCAGCCTCCAAACTGAAACTGCGGAGATTACAGGTGTGAGCTACCACACTCGGCCAAGAAAAAGACTGTCAATGGATATCTAAATAAATTTTAGTAAAGAGTGGTGGAGTGTGGAAGCAGCAAGTGAAATCTTACTTTAAGAAGGATTCTGCCCTCATGAAGTATCCAGGAAGTTGGTAAATTCTTTTCCATGTTCATAATTATTCACCTTGTACCAAATACATTCTAGAGCAGGAACACTAAATGTAAGCATCTAGCTGTACCACAATAAAAAAGTGCACAAAACAAAATTATCACCGAAGTTACAAAATAAGTGACAAAGTAAAAAAGCCATTAATTAGTCTTGTACATCCTAACTCATAATGTAGACGAGAACAGAGAGATGGAGGTGATAGTGAGATGTTCCTCAACAACTTGGTAATATAGGGAAAAGCTTATAGTGAAAAAACAAATGGAGAGAATTCACATATAATGAGTAAGATAAACTTTATATCACATAGTCATCCAAGCAAGTATAAACACCTGAAAGTTTTAGAACACTCTAGACTTCGATTAGGGTAGGCTGGGTATAATGTAAGAAAGATTGAAATTTAGTAAGGGGAAATCTAATAAACTGTATCATATTCCATTTAAAAGATTCAGAGTAGAAGAAGAATTGGCCTGGAACCAACCAAAAGCAACTTTAACCACCAGAAGAATCAGGAGTTGCTTATCCAGTAAAAAACACTCAATTTGGTCAAAAGAAATGCTGTCTTCCCACCACCCCCCACCACTGGAGGAATGAAATGCCCAGGCTTTACTATGGCCTGGATGAAAGACTTCTCACTGCCGTTTCCTTTATATCTATAATTAAGAAACCTTCTACTGACAAATCTTGTTCCCATATATGCAGATAGCACAGAGGGGATATTCTAGTTGGCAGATATGAGCATTTTGCTTACTGGAAATAATTCATTTTATAATAAACTGATATTCTGGCTTATACATTAGTCTCCTCTGAGTTTCATTACCATTAACAGGATGACTCTGAGGGCCTAACAGCAAGTTTCTGGACATACAAAGATGAAAAATCCTTGGATTGTGGTAGTCATCAAAGTAGAACCACTCAGTGAGTTTTGGTGGCCATCCAGTAGCGTTTCCTTAACATAATCCCTCTCCCTTTTTACTACCTTAAAATTACAACAGAAACATTCATGCTCTAAATATATGATTACCACAGACATAATTACAGCATACGAAGGCTCCTCTTGTCTAGAATTTGGCACACCCTTATAAAAGATACCAATTTGTAAACTATCTTGTCCCATCCTCCCTCAATTCTTACCTTCTTGTAATGTTTGACTCAACCCATAAGACCTCAGCAAGACTGACTCATCTATGACACAGTCAATATACTGAAGCAGCAGAGAGTTGTTTAGCACTGAGCCCATCTGAGAAGGCAGCTGCAGTAACAGAAC